AGGGGGCTAGTAGTGAGGCGGAGACCCTAATTGATGATGATGAGGCTGATCGCACTTGGCAGCCTCGTCGTCATCAGGCTATTGCTTCCGCATCATCAGGAGAAGAGGGTGGCAGCTTGGCAGCGAGCAAAACAGTCGGTGGGTTGTCTCCATCGCCACACTCTGCCATGTGCCACTTTCAGGTCTCCTCACACACTGCTGGTGTGTTCAATTTTTTGACATAGGGTGCTGGCAGATTACGGGCCTCCCATAGCTGCTGCCAGGCCCCTAATCTGCCATGGGCCCCTATACCGCCTCCTCATGCTGCTGCCAGGTCCAGAGTCTCTCATGAGTCCCTGTACGGCCTCCCATTGCTGCTGTCTCCATCGCCACACTCTGCCATGTGCCACTTTCAGGTCTCCTCACACACTGCTAGTGTGTTCCATTTTTTGTCATAGGGTACTGGCAGATTACGGGCCTCCCATAGCTGCTGCCAGGCCCCTAATCTGCCATGGGCCCCTGTACCGCCTCCTCATCATGCTGCTGCCAGGTCCACAGTGTCTCATGCCATGTGACACTTTCAGGTCTCCTCACACTGCTGGTGTGTTCAATTTTTTGTCATAGGGTGCTGGCAGATTACGGGCCTCCCATAGCTGCTGCCAGGCCCCTAATCTGCCATGGGCCCCTATACCGCCTCCTCATGCTGCTGCGAAGTCCAGAGTCTCTCATGGGTCCCTGTACGGCCTCCCATTGCTGCTGTCTCCATCGCCACACTCTGCCATGTGCCACTTTCAGGTCTCCTCACACTGCTGGTGTGTTCCATTTTTTGTCATAGGGTGCTGGCAGATTACGGGCCTCCCATAGCTGCTGCCACTTTCAGGCCCCTAATCTGCCATGGGCCCCTGTATCTGCCGCCTCCTCATGCTGCTGCAGGTGTCTCTCATGGGTCCACATTGCTGTGTCTCATGCCATGTGCCACTTTCAGGTCTCCTCACACTGCTGGTGTGTTCCATTTTTTGTCATAGGGTGCTGGCAGATTACATGGGGCCTCCCATAGCTGCTGCCAGGCCCCTAATCTGCCATGGGCCCCTATACCGCCTCCTCATGCTGCTGCCAGGTCCAGAGTCTCTCATGGGTCCCTGTACGGCCTCCCATTGCTGCATGTCTCCAGGTCTCCTCTGGTGTGCCATTTTTTGTCAGGGTGCTCTGCCATGTGCCAGGCCCCTTTCAGGTCTCCTCACACACTGCTGGTGTGTTCCATTTTTTGTCATAGGGTGCTGGCAGATTACATGGGGCCTCCCATTGCTGCTGCCAGGCCCGTAATCTGCCATGGACACCCCGTACCGACTCCTCATGCTGCTGCCAGGCCCGTAATCTGTCATGGGCCCCTGTTGTCGCTTGTTGGCATATTCCGCTCGTTCAGATGCTCCTTCTCCTGCTACTCCTCTTCACGGATTCCGTCAGCAGTCTTTCTTGGAATCCGTTTCCAAGAGACAACAGTTTGCGAGCACGCACCCAATGGTGCAGAAGCTGAACGTCCTCCTGTCCAAGTTGCTGCTGCCAGGCTCGTAATCTGTCATGCGCCCCTGTACCGCCTCCTCATGCTGCTGCCAGGTCCAGAGTGTGTCATGGGTCCCTGTACGGCCTCCCATTGCTGCTGTCTCCATCGCCACACTCTGCCATGTGCCACTTTCAGGTCTCCTCACACTGCTGGTGGTTTCCATTTTTGTCATAGGGTGCTGTATGGCCTCCCATTGCTGCTGCCTCCACCGCCACACTGTGGCTCCACACTCTGGTTTTGGCCCCATGACTGCCCAAATGAGTGAAGTGTGCGGTGATTCTAAGATCGACGGCACTCATCTGCATGTCATACTGACTGTCAGTATTATTTCTCTTCCCCAGCAGACTCCAAGGGCATTTAAATTAAAGGTACAGTGTTCTGCACTAATATAAAGGCTCTCTGAAGCCTAGAAACACCCTTTTATAAGTTAAATTCGCAGCGAATATATTCGACTCGAATCAAAATTTTTCCACGAATTCGCCGAATCAGTCGAATCGAATTTTTGAATACTTCGCTCATCTCTAACTGAAATAATAAAATGCATATTAAGAAATATATTTATAAATAATTAATAATATGTGAATTTGGTCACAAGTACGAATAAGCCCTTGCTGAAAAAGCCATATATTTTTTTATAACAACAGTTATTATTTCCATTAAATTTATTATATTTCTACTTTCCTCCAGATACAGAATCCTGTCATCTTGCAAGTGCATGGGGTTGACAATACGTAGGTGCCTCTTCTGCATCTCTGTGGCCTCATGCCCATCCTGGTTATTACTTGAAGGAGCATTGGCTCCCCTATAAAGGGGGTCCCCTGTTATTGATGTGAGCTCCTAGTAAATGCACATACTGCCTACACCCCTATTTCGTTGTATAGTTCCAGTTTTACTGAGACACAGATGAGGACACGTTCCCCATGGTATATTTGTTCTACAGGACCTAACGCTACTGTAGTTAACTGCTCTCCTTATTTCTATGGGCTGATTTTTTCGGCCTATAGTACACTTTTGGTAGGTATGGTAGCTAACCCTAGCCCAAATTGTTTGCTCTCTCAGTGGACAGACAATTAAAAATTTTCCGTGCAGCTAACAGGCCCTTCAATCTCATCCAGGCCTACTAAATTGCAGAGTGCTGCAGAGTGTCCCTTGAGTTTGTAACCCATCAAGTTATTATTCAGATTTATGTATCTTCTCTTCACTTTCAAATCCCACTACTATAGACTGTTCAAAAAACAAATCCCACTAACTACGATAGACTTTACATAAAACAAATCCCACTGACTGCTATAGAGCATGTAAAGCACTGGGCCATGCCAACTTTTGCATGGCAGTCTCAGCAGTTATGTAACCCCTCTGGCTGCTATGTTGGGTGAAAGTGGTTGTAAACCTCGGACATAAAATATGAACAAATCATATCCCTCTATAGTGTGTACTTGTCTCAATTAAGAGCACTAAGTGTAATTTCTGTCTGCTGCCTTGTTCCTCTGCTATCTGCATGAATCACTTCTGACAAGTTTTCCTGACACCAAGAGAAAAATGGTGACAGAGGAGGGATCTCCAGCAGATTGACTGCCTCAGTTCGGTTCCTGTGAGCTGTGTGGAGAGGGTGTGTGTTCCTTCCCTCCAATCAGCTCTCAGAGCTCTCCTCACTGAACTCTGTAGTGTATAACATCAGCTCTCCACCCCTTGTTTTCTGAATACTGAGACAAGCTTTAAAAATTCTGGACTTTGAACGGACGTAGAGAAGAAAAGACTGCAGATAAACAGGTGCAACTTATGTAGGAGGATTTGTTCCATTTCTGTGTATCGCCTGAGGCCACTTCACTATTTATATGTAAGGGTTTACAACCACTTTAAGTGGGGTGGGGGCAGTAAAACCATAGCTCAATCGCCCCCTGGCCACAAATGTGAAAAAGCCCCAACTGGAAAGACAACAAATCGCTTCAAGCTGCTTGTGTTCCATCCCCTGAAAAGCATTCCACCATGGATTGTTTCTCAGAGGGGGTGGCATGGACTATCACTAGTGTAAACAAGCCCTAGGGATCTACTTTTAATAACATTGAGATTTGCAATAGAGAGCCTCCACCCCTGAACTTCAGTGTATTAGACAGGAGCACTACTTGCATCTGAAAAAAATGTGTCCTGTTATCTTGTACACATGCTGGCACTGTGGTGCTTTGCATGACTTATAGTAGTCAATGGGATTTAAAAATGAAGAGAAGACAGATAGATCTGAGTAATACTATTACTGACTACAGACTCAAGGGTCCAACACTCTCCAGTTTTGTAGACCTAGAATGATTTAAGGAGACAGAGGGCCTGTTAACTACAACCTGTCCTCGGATTATGAACAAGATAAGATTGTTGGTTTGTTCCTAAGTTGAAATTGTATGTACGTTGGAACAGGAACAAGTGTAACTCCAGCCAAAAAAAATATTTTTACATTTTGGATAGCATAGGGAAGGGTTAACTGGACATGCAGTGATGTGGGATTGCTGACAGGTCCGTCGGACAGTAGGTGGCAGTATGTGGCGAGCAACAAGGTGGCTGCCTGTCGATTTCCGGGACCAGTGTGATGTCACGCTGCCTCCAAGTAAGTATGAGTCGTGTGGAAGTCAAATGTTTGTAACTCGAGTACTGCTCGAGTAGAACAGCGAACTGTGACAGGTTCTCTTTAATATTACATTTCTACAAGTCTCTGTTTATTTTTGTAAATATATGTGTTTATAGTGATGTTGGTTTGAAGAATGGCTGAAAGAAAAAAAAAATAACACATTGGACTTCATTTACAAAAAATATATGAACAAAATATTTGTCCAAAGCAACCAATCAGCGTCTTCCATCGTTTTAAAACCTGCCCTAGAGCAATGGAATGGAGAAACTGATTAACTGGTAATATAGACAGTTACTGCACTTTATTATATGGGAGAAATGGATATCATTTATCAAACAACTGAATGAAGAAGTATGTTTCTCATGGCAACAGGGCAAAGTCTCCTTTCATATTCAACTTACACTGAAAAAACAACTGGAATCTGACTGTCATGGGCAACAGAGACTATATGTAGGTATGCTCATAAATTCAGGCCATTTCAATGTTCCTTTGTATTCAGAAATTTTCATACTTCTTCGCTGCCTCAAACTTATAGATGATTTGGTAGCCGTCATCCCAAGCATAGAGCATTTGGTCTCTTGGATTGTAGTGCACTGAAGAGTGATTGCTGTATCGCTTTGGGAAGTATAGAGTAGGTGTTTCATGGCCATCAATGACATCAGAGGTGTCGAAGATACAGTCAATATGGGATCTACCACCATTGGGACTATTGTACATGACGTATAGGGTTCCGCATATGACGAAAGCTGCCTCTGCATTGTAGCTGCTACAGGTTGTATTCCACACATGGGTCACTGCCATGTCAGCCTGGTCTATTTTTGTAAGTACAAGGTTGCCATCAGCTCCAAGTTCACCGTGAATGGCCCAAAGACCCTGCTCATCTATGGCGAGATCAATTTTTGTATATGGTGAAAGCTGGTAGGGTGGATTAAGCCCAGCACCCTTGAGATGCATAGACTGCGTAATGTTTTTTCTGGATGTTGTATCTAACAATTTCATTTATTGTGCCATTCTTATGGAAAAACACCTCATTCTTGTAGACTTGGAGGCCAGTTCCTTGCCAAGAGAATGGCAGTGTTATAGATTCTGCTCTTTGCAGAAAATCCAAGCTGGTGAAGTCATCAATGTTGGCAAATTCCAGGAGCATGTCCTTGCTGTAATAAGTAAAGTAATAGATGTTTTCTGAACTGTCACCAGTGTTCTTCATCCAAGCACCAACGGAGCCCCCAGATTTCTTTACCGTTTTTAAATACTGGATTTGTGCCAGCATTATCGAACAACCTCAAAACAAGAAAATCAATTAGTTAAAGTAGCTGTATTTATCAGTAAATCCATTGTCAGTGCCAGAATTTAGGAGCCTGATAGTTTTATGTAGGATGCTCTCAGTATCAGGAATTTGCCTCATAGTACAAAATATCTGCTACACTAATGTACCCTCTTAACACTCCCCAACATATAACTCAACCCCTAAAAGGGTAAATAAAGAAACAAATACAAAAAAGAATAATTTGGAAATCGTAAAATAAAAAAAACAAATTCTGCTACAGTACTTACCTTTTTATCCAGCATTATTCCCCACAGTAGGCCGTTCCACCACTAGATGTGGTCAGGGTCCAAGGATGACCATTTATCTCACTACCTCTGAGTCCAGGTGTAATCACAGAACCTAGGATCAGAGTAATACTGCACTGCACATTGTAGGAGAAAAGGAAGAACTCGTGACATCAATGGGCTTTCCCAGAAGACACCTGGAAAAAAGGGAGGTGGTAGGGGAGCTCAGGGCCTCTTAAGCTGGCTATAGACAGTTTTTTCCATTCAGCTAGTAGACTTAACTATTCAGGGAAAATGAAATTAAACTGAGACGCCATTGTTGCAAATGTTAAGGATGAATTATTCCAAGGTGGCTACAACTATAAAGGTCAGTAGAAGCAGGTTTTAAAGTTAATTTCCTGCTTGTTAAGAATATGCAAATATTTTGGTTGTCTATCACTTGGCCACAGTTCTACTTTAATGACCAGCCAACATAGATTAACAGCTGAACTTGCTGTATATTCCTGCACCAGGGCACAAAATCTATGAGTGCTATGTTGGGGTGCTATAATGAGGCTACTACCAACAGCTGTGATCAGGGGTGGACTGACCATTTGGAAACTCGGGCACTGCCCGAGGGCCCGGGTCAGTAGGGGGCCCCATGAGATGCCCCTGGTACTTTTTTTGAGTTTGGGCAAGGACACAGGGGCCCCATGATCCCCTATTGCCCGGGGGCCCTATGAATTGTCAGTCGGCCCCTGGCTGTGATCATAATGAATGTGTTAGGAACAGAGCACCCCAAAACCTGGCTGCTGATTGCTGTTACTTGTTTATAGAGCTTTGATTCAAGATACTGGGTGACTGTACTCTTATCCTCAACTCATTGGTATTTGAATAAATGGGATTGCATTATCATGTTGATTGCATCATTAGTGCTCCTGCACCCATCTGTACTGATCCGCCTTACCACAATATGGCATGGTGGAGGTTGCAAGGTATAACAGGAAGTGTAATTTCTAAGCAGCATTATATCAGTGGGTAGGGATGCAGTGGTCACCATTACTATGTGTTTAATTGAAAATTACTTTCCACAAGACAGAAAAGGTACTAGCATATTACTGTTAAAACAGCAAACTTTTTTTTAGCAGTCTGCGTGTTAGTGAGAGGTTCTTTTTTTTGGAGTACCCAAAGTTAGACTCTGAAGGTGCCATTAGAATCTAATTAAACACATGAAATAATTCATGCATGTTGGGATTTTAAGATGAAGTAAGGGACCCTAGATTAGTGTCTTGATAGACTATCCGTAAAAAATTGTGCTACATGCACAGTGTTAATATTAGTTTTATGGTTTAGTAACATGAACAGAAAGGGAGTAGAGATGTGCAATTTGATTCATTCACATTCATTTTTCGGATTCGGATGCATCCAAGTTTCCAAATGAACATAGAAACAAAAGGCAAAGAATCCCCCTGGCTGTGGAGGGGAAGGGAGCGGGTGGCTCAGGCTCTCAGCGGCTCGCAGAGAAGCTGAGCCAGGTGCCGCTCCAGTCTCTAGGGTGGGACCCGACTTTGGAGTCGAGATCTTTCCCTAGCCTGGACTGGCTGAGTGACATCAGCCTGCTGTTGACTGAAAACGCGTCACAGGAGTGCATATTGAACTGCACTCCTATGATCCACAGGAGAAGTACAGCCAAAATAGCGTTGGATATACTGCTCCTTGACAACCATGACTCATTTGCTGTCAACAGGATTCCAAGCTGTCAGCAGAATTTAAACAAAACAAGTTCTGGATAAAAAAATACTAAGAAACAGTGTGCCCCCCCCAATCCTTACCAGACCCTTTGGGTCTGGTATTGATTTTAAGGGGACCCCATTCCAAAATTTACAAAAGAAATGGCGTGGGGTCACCAGCCAAAATCCATACCAGACCCTTATTCAAGCATACAGCCCGGAAGGCCAGGAAAGGGGGGGAGTGAGGGCCCCCCCTGCTGAACCATACCAGGCCACAAGCCCCCAACATGTTGAAGGGTGCTTTGGGGGATGGTTGCTCTCCCCCCCAAAGCACCTTGTCCTCATATTGATGGAGACAAGGGCCTCTTCCCCACAACCCTGATTTGTGGTTGTGAAGGTCTGTGGGCAAGGGGCTTATCAGAATCTGGAAGCCCCCTTTAACTAGATCCCGCCCCCCTTTTCTGGCCTGCCGGCCTACATGCTTGAATAAGGGTTTGGTATGGCTTTTTTTTTTTAATTTTGGCATGGGGTTTCCATAAATCTTTATATCAGACCTAAGGGTCTGGTATGGATTTTTTTGGGGGGACCCCACTCCAATTTTTGAAAAATATTCTGGTGTGGGATTCCACTCAAAATTCATTCCAGACCCTAAGGGCCTATTACAGATTGGGGAGGGACCCCCACACTTTTTTTTTTTTTTTTTTAAACCGCACTTCTCTTATTTACATTCTGATGGATTCCCTGCTGACAGCAGATGAGTCATGGTTGTTAAGGACGTAGCGGCCGCCTGCTCCTTAACAACCACAGCTATTCACAATGAATTCGGATCTGTCCAAAGTTATTCCGGGTGGATCAGAAAATTGTTAAATGAGATCAGGGATGAACTAAGGAAATTAGGAGGGGGAACCCCGTCACGGATAGGTTGTATAAATTTGATAAAAATGGTGGTTGTTCCAAAAATATTATATAAATTTCAAATGATACCAATTAAACTACCAGAAGTATACTTTAGATCAATTAAAAAAATGTTAGTAAGATTTATTTGGAGGAATAAAAAAACGAGAATAAACCAGGAAATTTTATGTAGAAATAAAGAGAAAGGGGGATTGGGATTCCCAGATTTAAAAAGATATTATAACTCGGTAATAATGGCGAGAATTTTTGACTGGACATATAATGAAGAGGGGAAAAGCTGGGTTAAATAGAAAATGTAATAAGTAATACTAAATTAAGTGGAATTGCATGGTTACCTTCACAATACAGAGGGTTAGCAGACAGTACAAGTTCTTTTCCATTTAATGTTTTAAGAGTTTGGGATGTTTTACACAAACAGATGGGATGGGAATAGGGGCGGACTGACCATTTGGAAACTCGGGCACTGCACGAGGGCCCGGAGTCAGTAGGGGGCCCCATGAGACGCTCCTGGTACTTTTTTCATAGGCTTTTTTGAGTTTGGGCAAGGACACAGGGGCCTCATGATCCCCTATCTCACATATGGTGGGAGTGTTCTAAAATACAAGAGTATTGGTGGCAAATAGTAAGCTTGATTCAGAAAATTACAGAGGTTGATATTCTAGTAGACCCAAAGATTTGCCTTTTTCATAGTACTAAGTTTTTAGTTAAAAAATACAAAGAATCTGGTTTAATGTACTATTTGAATGCAGCAAAGGGACTGATACCCAAGTATTGGAGGAGACAGGAGGTGCCGAAAATAAAAGACTGGGTGGATAGGGTGGATCCAATATGTAAATTGGAGGAACTTTATCATTTGAATGAAGATAAGATGGAGAGTCACCATACAAGATGGAACAAATGGGAGGAATTCAAAAAGTCAAGGCTAGCCTTAGAGGTTATGGGGGATTAACATAGAATAATATGGAAACATATTTTTTTCTTCTTTTATAGGGATTATGATCTTCAGAAATGAACAGGAAAATGCAGAGCAGAAGGTGTCAGGGATTGGATGGGGGGTTGGTGGTAAATAGGTAGGGGGTGAAGGGGGGGGGGGGTTAGAGGGATGAAACGATAAATTATTTGATAATAAGCTAAGGTTTTAATGAGTATGATTGTATAACTTGTTTATCTGAAAAATTTATAAATATTTAAATTAAAAAAAAAGAATATGTTTCGAATCCACCCGGTATAACGGAAAAACAAAACGGAAAGAACCAAAACGAATCCTGAAAACGAAATGGACCGACAATGAAAAAAAATGAAATTATCAACCTAACGAATGCATTCAAAATGAAACGAAACATGTCTAAATAGGGATGCAAGCAGGATCATAGAGTTCATTTTGATTAAAATGTATCTCCAGCCAAAACTTTTTCTATTTTAGATTTGGATAGAGTGGGGGAAAAATATTACCCATTTAGATTTTTACTACCATCCAGGTCTCCATAAGTAGAAGTAAAGGAAAAAAGACAAACAGAGACACAAGTAACAAATAAATACTGACATGTATCCTGGCCTTTTCCTAAGGGTTTTTTTTTTATTTCTGCCTCTGTTTTCCTTTCTTCACTTTGATGAAACAGCTGTCACGATAATGATTAGTGGGGAGCAACCTCTTTAGTGGAGCCCAACAGAGGTTCTAATCCTTAATCATGCTATCCAAAACGCAAAGGCTTTGGCTAGAAAAAACACTATAAGTACAGTGGAAATTTTCAAAAAGCTGTATTTAAGAGAAAAACAATACAGAAACCCCCAATCTCCTATCTTCCTATAACTAATATTGAATTTGGTATACAATTCCTTTCTTCAATTTCCATCTCCAGTAACTGAAAGAATAACTCTTAGCTTCTACTCACTCGTGCTGAGTTTGAGCTGTAGTTTCTTCTTCTCTTCTGCCTGTTCGAGAAGTTGCTTCTCCATCAGCTGGTCATCAACTTCCACTTGAGTTTTTGAGGAGCTTGTACTTTCCAGGTAATCAATATCCCACTCGGCCCTTTCCAGTCTTGCCCACATATTTTCCATCTCACCCTTCACTTCCACCTTATATTTACTGAATTTCTCCAAACTTGATACCAACTTGTGAGACAACTCTTGAAATTCATGGAGGTATTGTTGGACATCTTGTTCACACTTGAGCAGTCTGTCCTGAGAGACAATAAACAACCATTCTATAGTTTTTTTTTTTTTTAACTTTAAGTATTTTTTATTTTGTAAATTTATATTAATTTAATTTACAATACAAACATATCATACATCCCGACTTTACTTAATAAAACGTTGTTAAGCAGTTGTGTAAGTTGAAAGAAAATACAAGTAAATTAAGTTTAACTTTTGCAAGTTAATTTGCAGTCCACCCCCTATAAATTATGTGTATGCCCTTTTCCTCCTCTATATCATGTTGACTAGTGAGAAGTGGCAAGTTTTTTCTAGGCCTGCTACAGTATACTGGAAAAAATCTGTTCTAAACTGAACTGCCAAGTTTTGAAGACAAACTATAAAAATGTCATTGAAGCAGTTGGTTTTTTTTAGGTTTATAAACTTAAAACTATTTTCAATATTTTTTTTTCAATATAGTTAACTTATGCTAATTAACATATAAACATTTAACACTTGACATGGGATTCCCAGAGCACTATGGTAAGGTCATAGAGGGTCAGTGGGCGACTGTATAGAGATAGTAGCAGGGGCAGTGGGGGACTGTATAGGGGTAGTAGAGGGGCAGTGGGGGACTGTATAGGGGTAGTAGAGGGGCAGTGAGGGGCAGGGGGACTGTATAGAGGGTCAGTAGGGAAGGGGTTGTAGAGAGGCAATGGGGGACTGTAAAGGGGTCAGAGGAAGGCAGTGGGAGACTGTAGAAGGGTAGTAGTGGAGTGGTTGGGGACTGTAGAGGGGAAGTATAGAGGCAGTGGGGCACTGTGGAGGGGTTGTAGAGAAGCAGTTGGGGACTGTAGAGGGGTAGTAGAGAGCAGGGGGGCGGACTGACCATTTGGAAACTCGGGCAGTGCCCAAGGGCCCAGGGTCAGTAGGGGGCCCCATGAGATGCCCCTGGTACCTTTTTCATAGGCTTTTTTGAGTTTGGGCAAGGACACAGGGGCTCCATGATCCCCTATTGCCCGGGGGCCCCATGAGTTGTCAGTCCGCCCCTGGTAGAGAGGCAAGGTGGGACTGTAAAAAGCTCATAGAGGGACAGTGGGGACTGTGGAAGAGTAGCTGAAGAGCAGTGGGGGACTGTATAGAGATAGTTGCAAGGCAGTGGGGGACTGTAGAAGGATTGTAGAGGGGCAGTGGAGGACTGTATAGAAGGCAAGTAGGGAAGAAGTAGAAGAAGGGTAGGCACCTGACAGCACAACGGAAAGAGAGACAGTAATAGAGTATACGAGTAGTAAGTTTAATGGAAGAAATGGGAGGTAGTAAGGTGACAGGAGAAGAAGTGGTCAGTAAAATCCCAATTACAAAATGTGTGTGAATAGGGAGAGGGCAGTTAAGCCTCCGTTCCTTGGAGCAGTCTCTGTTCAGTTGGTATAGTTACAGCATAGGTATTCCTTACGTCAGATTACTTATACAGTTCATTGACAATAAAAATAGCAAGTGCTCGTACACAAACAGTGCTCAGCATATCATATCTGTGAAGGGTTTTTAATATAAATGTCTCATACTTTAGTTACCGGTTGAATAGCAGTGTTATTTTTATACACAAGTGTTCCATTAATTTATATATATATGTGTTTGTTTTGCTACAGCACTCCTAAAGCAGAAATATTATGCTCAAAGGACGAGCAAAGCAGAATAGTGTGTGTGTTAAAAGCAGGACTAATGAATCTCCTGAGCTTACAAATACATTCTGAACTTCCTTCTGTGAACTGGAAATGCAATTGAAACACATCACATTAAAAACAATGCAGCTTCATTGTAAATGGAGCCTTCAAGTTAGGGAGGCATTAAGCAGTCTTTTGTTTCCAGTATTTTAACTCCTTGGTTCCTTTTAGACATCTGTGTCTAGATAAAGTAGATGTAAATGCTACGTCAATGACATTTAGTTGACTGAAGCCCTGTGTATCATAAAAATGTGCCATTTATTTCATAAAAATATATATATATTTTTTCCTTTTTGCTTTTTTTTTCTGTTGACCTCCATCAAGTTCTTTTCAGCCACTTCCTGTATACATGCATGTGCTGCATGCCACTGCTCATGTTGGGGTTCCTGGCGGTGGCAAAGAAAGAGCATGCCTGAGCATTATGTATGGTTTCTACCAAAAGTAAATGTGATAAAGTGGTAATGCAGGAGAGCAATTGGGACAAATGGCTATAGTGATGTCACCCTATAAAAGAAAATACTTGAACAAGTACTTTCATGGCAGGATAACTAAGTATTATTTTAATAAAACCTGTAGACTTGAAAATTACTTTTAAAGCTACAATAACAATTACAATTTTAATTATAAAAGATTTTAAGGATTGTATTTTTCATTTTGTTTGCAGATCTGCTACAACTTTAGGACATAGTAAGAGTAACACCTATGACACAAAGTATGTAGGTCATCCTTTCTCATGCAAGGTTCTTTCAGAGTTTGCTAGATGTTCCTTGAGCTATGAGCAATTTCTGCTTCTCAGATAAGTTTTTTTTTTTTTTTTAGTTATCTGTAAAGGGGGGATTCTTCCCAATGACCACAAGTGTAAGGAGCATTATTTGTACTGACCATCAAACTAATGTACCATGAGCTGTAGATATATTATTGTTAGCAGTTCCCTGAGCCCTGGAAGTTAGTCCAATGGTTCCTCCATGTAAAAAAAGTTGATAAAGGCAGATATAGGTAAAAGGACACACACCTCTTCCAACCAACCAACCAGCCAATCAACCCCCTACCCTCAATCATGTAGACTGGGAAAAATTAGAAATGTTCATTTACATCCATTGATGCTTTTTTTCAACACACATTTTTTTATACTGGAATTTAAAAATAGCAAAGCCAAAAATGTAGGCTGCATTGACAACTGTGTGTTTCCTAAATATGCAACAAAACACACAAACTGTATGTCTTGCTGCATGTTTTGTAAATGTGCTGCAAGCATGCTACAATTGCGGGTCGTGCTTGCGGTGCCATTAATTGTTAATGACAGGTAGCAGATGTGTGTTTTGCCGTGTGACAAGCACGTGAAAATGCTCACTGAATAACGATTGATGCTCTACTACCAAAAAGGTTCTGGAGCTACTTTGGGGCATTTGTCACATGCAGGGCAGCCCATTCAAATGAATGAGCATCCCTAGGTGCAGCAAGCATTAACGACTGAAAAACGAACAAAAAGAAACGTGAGTGGGACGCATGTTCTTGCTACGCTCAAGTGTGAATGGAACTTTAGAGGTTGCATGAAAAGTTTAGTTTGATACACTGTAACTTTTGGTAGTTATAGTACAATTATTATTTGAGGATTTTACATTAGACCAAAAAGTGAAGCAGTTCAGTTTTGGTTCCCAAAACTTCCTAAAGAAGTTCTGTCAAAGTTTAAATATACAGCTGGATCACATAACTGTTTTGTTTACACTGCCAAACCTTGCCATGGACCGATTATAATAGAAAATGATCAGCTAAACCACACAACTGTTTTTTAACCTTTATTTTTCTTTTATATTCGGCTTTTCAAAATAACAAATTAAGTGATTTAAAGGTTGGATAATAAAGTTTAGCGCAACATAACACTTTTGGTAGTAAAAAAAGTAAATTTAGTATAGAGAGATACACAAAAACAGGGACAACTAAGGTTGCAGAAGCAACAGAGAGATTTGGACTCAAAAGATGGACAAACCCTCCAACTTAGACACAGCTGGGAGCTATGCCTGCTGTCATATAAAGTGTGCATTTGTAGTCCCGCACACAGCCTCTGTTTTCTATGGGGATTGTACAAGGCTTGCTGCTTTAAGGGCTGGGAGGGGGGGGGGGGGGTGACAACTTTAGACTGTTGGCCAGAGAGAGCCTCTGACACTCCCGGAAGTGTAGGAGATGGCAGACTATAACTATAGTATACATTTAGCTTGCTATATGTGCCAGAGTCATCATAATCACCAATAGTCATAATTTTCTTCTTGGAACACCCCATTCGTGGTTCAATTAGGGTCAGCAAAATTCACCCTGCTCAAACCTTCATCAACTGCTGAGAACTCAGAGAAATGTTATTTTAGAATCTGCTTTGTAATGAAAAAAGTTGACCTATTCGGAGCACATCAGCAGTTGCCATGGAATGTTATTAGGGAAAGAAACACTGATTGGCCAAAGTCCAAGCCAGGAACCCCTTGTTAGTCCTTTATGGGTAATGAGTGGATTGTCTTTCAACTTCCTTGCAGAACGTTGAAAGTCCTTTTAAATCTAAAGCTCCAACTTTGAAAATAGAGGAATATGAGTTGTCAGATTGAATAATGCATTACATACCTCCAGACCCAAAATCCGTTTCTCGATGTATCGAATAATGGTTTCATCGTGAACTTCACACTGAATGTTCCTCTGAGTTATGGCCAGAAATACAGTTAGCATTTGCAAACAATAAAGCTCCATGTTCTAAAGTCCTTCAGACAAGGCTGCCTTGGTGCTCTAAAGTCCAGATTTGTTTCATGTGGTGTCCTTACATATGAATGCTGATTAAAGGGGGGGGGGGGAGTGAAGATTCAGAAACGCTTCTTGCAGCCTCTCTCTCAGGACGAACAATGCCTAATATAAATTCTTTCTTCTAGGGTTTGTGCCAAATGTTGTAATAGAATCCATATGCTCAAAACACGAGGCAATTATTCACATCTGCAACTTACAGGGTCTTTCACTTACTGTTTTCCAGGCAGCAAAAGGAAAAGTATACAAGAGGAGTTATATTACACAGTGAGCAAATAAGCTTTCTACAGAATGTGTTCAGAATATTCCTGGATAGCCATGTGA